AGACATCCCTGAGGAGAAGTCACATGGACCTGCCCTGATGCAGCCCTGGGTGCTGGAGCACCTGTGTGGAGAGCCCTGCCAGCGCTGAGATGCTTACACACTCACGGATTACGCTTTCCTCCTGCGGTCGGCGTCATTGCGTGTGTTTTGTGAGCTTGTAGATCAGTGTTGGACATATGGGCTTGGACTGGACTGGGGTGAGATGCTTTCTGGTGTAAACTTAGCCTTTATATAAAACTCTCTCATACACATATGAGTTTCTGTGGGTTTGTTTCTCTAGTCTACCCAGACTAACACACTCAGGATGAATTAAAGGCCTAAATGTAAAACCTAGAACAATAAAGATCAATGAAACAATAAGGGCAAGCTTGGGGTCCTTATTGCGGAAACATGGCATCAACACACTGTCAAGTATAATGATAAAACAGCACACAGCAGGAGGTAACAAATACCTAGGGCAGTGGTTCTCAACCTTCCTCAGGCCGCGACTCTTTCATACAGTTCCTCATGTGGTGGTGACCCCCCACCTATAACATTATTTTGTTGCTACTTCATAACTCTAATTTTGCTACTGTTATGAATTCAGCAACCCCGGTGAAAGGGGTTGCTACCCACAGGTTGAGAACCACTGGTCTAGGACCTCCTAAAAATAAGACACTTTGATGCATCAGAAGGCTTGATTGAACAAGAGGAAAAGGACTCACAGATTGGAAAAAAAATGTTGGCAGTGATACATCAAACAAGGGACCCATCTCTCCCAACAAGAGAAACATGAATAACCAAAATGAAAATGGGCAGACACGTCCCCAGAGAAGACGCTCAGGCGGCCAGCAGACATGAAGAAGTGCTCGTGGTCACAAGCCATTTAGAGAGATGCAAATCAAAACTGATGATAGGCCATTTCACTCCTGAAGTGCTAACAAAATTAGAAGGGAAGACAGATACTGGAGGGAGTACAGAGAGAATGCCACCCTCATACACTGCTATTGGAACTCCAAAACAGGACAACCGCCGCTGTGGATGA